GGTTTGTGTTCTGGTGGGGTGGAAGTGCTGACTCTGTGAAGCGTTAACGTTTTCACATCTGACCACAAAAGCTGGGGAGGGGTTTGTGTTCCTGGCGGGGTGGAAGTGCTGACTCTGTGAAGTGTTAACGTTTTCACATCTGACCACAAAAGCTGCCCGGCCTGAGAAGCCACAGAAGGAGCAGAGGGAGCTTCCCAAACCCTCCTCCATTTTTAAATCCTGTTTAAATCCAGCCAGGAGAGGCACAGACACCTCGGCAGCTGGGAGAAGAGGCCATAACACAAGGAAACCCACCTGCTAAAGGGATGTTTCCTCCTTGTTTCGGCCCGTGTCTCCCGTATCTGGCTGCACCCCCCGGGGTTTGCTGGGGTGGAAGGTGGTAACTCCAACATCCGAGCCGAATTCAGGGGATTCTGCTTAAAATGTGCTTTATTCCTCACCCCTCTTTGTGCTTCTTGGAGGTGGAATCTGTTTTATATTGTCTGTTCTGCTTGAGGATGAACCGGCCACGGCTTGTCTTTAAGACTTGAGGGAATTAAAAAAGATGGTATCGAATTGTCCTTATGCTTAGGAATAATTTAAAAGTTGAAATTCTTTGATTTCCAGGCGTTTCACTTGCCAGCCTGGATGTATTTGATCACAGGAGGGCTCTAACCGGGTAACCCTTCAACCTGAAGTGACGGCTAATTGCTTTAAATTGATTTAAATCGCGCTCTGTGCGGGGCAGCTGTTAGTGCCTCTGTCCCTTGAGAGGGATGTCGAGACGGGGAAAACTCAAGGTGGCATCTCAGAAATCAGCATTTAAAGGTGTCCATGCTCTTAGATGTTTGTCAGGGCCGTGACACCCCCAGGAGCTGTGCAAAAGGGACATCGAGTTCTTTTCCTCTTCTTGCCTCTCTCTCTTCTTTTCTGCAAAATGGTTCCAAAGAAGCAAAAGAGAAGCTTGAACCCTGGAAGGGTTCAAGGCCAGGTTGGAGGGGGCTTGGAGCAACCTGCTCTGGTGGGAGGTGTCCCTGCCCAGGGCAGGGGGTAAGGAATGAGATGGTCTTCAAGGTCCTTTCCAACCCAAACCATTCCATGAAATCCTTGTCCGACCACCCCACGATGGAGGTACAACCCTGTAGCACTTGGAAATGGGTTTAACGAATTACAGCACCCATTAAGTTGAGTTTCCTCCCATTTGGCACCCAAGAACCTGCCACGAAAGCCCTTGTCCCACCCTGAAATCTCTCCCTGTGAGAAGGGGCCGATTTGTGTCTGCTTTTCAGCCACCCCGAGCTCTGAAAACATTTGGCCCCTTGTTTGGTTTGAAGCTGCCCAAGTGGGAATAGGAAACGCACCTTCAAGCTTGAAAATGACCTTGTCTGGTGTTGGGGAAAGTTTGTGTTGTAATTTAATACGGCGATGGATCCTCAGGAACCCTCAGCCACATCCAGGATCTGAACCTGGAGGTGGAAATCCAAGCCTGAGGCGGTGAGAGCTGCCATGTCCTCCTTCTGTCCCCATGCCAGGTCTGGGCTCCGGGTGGCACAACGTCCTCAGAGCTGGTGAAAGAGCCACTGGTGTCCTCATGGGTCCCTCCTACCTCAGGGTGTCCCATCTTCTGGCTTTTCTGTACCTCTTCAGAAAGCAGCGGTTGGGTTTGCCCCTTCCCAGCCACCACCTTCCTGCCCTTCCTTTTAATTCCTTCATCAGCCAAAAGGGTTTCTTCACTGGTGATACTGGGAAGAACCCGAAGGACTAGATGATCTCTATGGTCCCTTCCAACTGCACTGGTGATACTGGGAAGAACCCAAAAGAATGTGAAATAAGGTGTTCAAAATGCCAAGCAAGGGAATAACTCCTGCCTGTCACAAGCACAAACCCCCGAGTGACCTCTTCAGGGAGTGGATTTCTCGGTTCCTCTGCCCGTTTGACGTGAAGTTGTGAGACCCAGAAGTGACTCCTGCTTTTTAAAAAGCTCTGCCCCTTTCAGACCTCCAAGGAGTTCCTCCTTCCTGAGGCTTCAAGGATGGAGCTGGAGCTGGATGGAGTTGTCCCCTCTGGATGCTGTGAGAGGTTGAAGCTCATTCTGGGAGGCTGTGCTCCCCAAAGTGAGCACCACAAAGCTTTTCTGCTTTTTTATCTGGAGAAATCCACCACAGCCTGACATTCCTGAAAGCTGCTGGTGGTTTTTTTTCCCTCTGATGGTCTGATTAATCTAAAAATGCTTTTTCTCTCCTACCTGAGCCCTCCCTGCCGGCAGCAGAGCCGCTCTGGGTTAGCACATGGTCCTCTTCCCTGGGCTCTGCTGCTGGGACCTGATGGGAACTGGGGGAGCTCCTGGTCCGTTGGGGATTTTGGGAGTCACCTCTCCAAACCCTGGGCAGGCTCAGCTTCATTCCTGTGCCCTGGGCGAGCCCGGCTCTGCGGCTCGGAGGGAGATCTTTGGGGCTGAGGAGCCCTGAAGGTAGTGGCTGGTCGGGCTAGTTCACCAGGAACTCCTGGTGGTGTGGTCACAGGAGGTGGGGTAGCCCAGGCCCAGGGTGGGGTAGCCCAGGATGGAGGCCGGGGTAGCCCAGGCCCATGGTAGGGTAGCCCAGGATGGAGGCTGGGGTAGCCCAGTTTGGAGGCTGGAGTAGGGCAGCCTGGAGCTAAGGGTGGACTGGGGTAGGGGTAGCCAGAACTGGGACACTGGTAGCCCAGGACAGAGCTAAGGGTGGACTGGGGTTGGGGTGGCCCAGGACCATGGCAGGGGTAGCCCAGGATGGAGCTAAGGGTGGACTAGGGGCAGGGGTAGCCCAGCACCAGGTTATGGTAGCCCAACACTGGGTTATGGTAGCCCAGAGCTTCTCCTGCCACCCAGGACCACCTTTTAGGAGTGCTCTATGGTTCAAGAGCAAAAGCTGTGAAAAACACAATAGCTGTTATTTTACAGAAGGACAAGGATAAAGTGTTTGACCCTGAAAGAGGGGAGATGGAGATGAGATGTGGGGAAGAACTTCTTGGCTGTGAGGGTGGTGAGAGCCTGGCCCAGGTTGCCCCGAGAAGCTGTGGCTGCCCCAGCCCTGGAGGGGTTCAAGGGCAGGTTGGAGGGGGCTTGGAGCAACCTGGTCTCCTTGAAGGTGTCCCAGCCACTAGAAGGGATGGAACTGGATAAACTTTAAGGTCCCTTCCAACCCAAAACGTGCTGTGATTCTGTGGCGATTCCACCCCTTCCCTGGGTTGGAGGGGACCTTTAAGTTCATCAAGACCAACCATCAACCCAACACCGACCAACCCACCACTGACCCATGTCCCTCAGCAACGGCTTTTAGATCCCTCCAGGGATGGTATTTGGGGAGTGGAGCCACAGGACGAGGGGGAAGGGTTTTAAACCAAAAATTAGGAGATGGAGCTGAGATGTGGGGAAGAACTTGTTTGGTGTGAGGGTGGTGAGAGCCTGGCCCAGGTTGCCCCGAGAAGCTGTGGCTGCCCCATCCCTGGAGGGGTTCAAGGGCAGGTTGGAGGGGGCTTGGAGCAACCTGGGCTGGTGGGAGGTGTCCCTGCCCAGGGCAGGGGGTGGGAATGAGATGGTCTTCAAGGTTTCTTCCCACCCAAACCATTCCATGATAACTCACCCCCCCCCCACCCCAGATCTTCAGAGGCTCAACCAGAGGGGGTGTCACTCTGCCAACACATCATCCAGCCTGAAGGTCTGATGTTTCAACACGAAATCATCCCGTGGCAAAGGCCCGTTTCCGAGCTAAACCTGCGGAACCCTTTATCCTCAGTTTCCCAGAATAATAATAATAATAATAAATCCCTGGTTTATGGGAAATGATAGAGAAAAGAGCTTATTAATCAATTTGCCTCGCCTGGGCCGCTTGGGCGGACGCGGATGGGTGCGCCGTGAAGATCCCCAGGTTGTCTCCTGGCCCTGGGAACCAGCCTTGGCAGTTGGAGGGTTGGAGCAGGAGAGCCCAGGTCCCTCATCTTCCTCCTGGTGATTCACAGGCACCTTCGCTGCCTCTTCAGGTCTAGACAGGCATCTCCTTTGAATTTTGATGGAGTTTTTTAGGGCGGTATCTGGCTCGGGAGCGGTGTTGGTGTGTGCTCACTGCTGCACCTAGTCCTTCTGCTGCGGAAAAACCACGTTAGTTTGAAGGATTATGGGCAACTTTTGGGCTAGGTGGAGAAGGGAACCTGCAAGCTCCGTCGTGGTGTTCCTGCTCTGACATAGTGACATCTCGCTGCCATCCAGCGAGATCTGGACAGGCTGGAGAACTGGGCAAGGAAGAACCTCGTGAGGTTCAACAGGGAAAAGTGTAGGGTCCTGCACCTGGGGAAGAAGAACGTCAGGCATCAATACAGGTTAGGGGTGGACCTGCTGGAAACAAGCTCTGAAGAAAAGGATCTGGGGGTCCTGGTGGACAACAAAATGACAAGGAGCAAGTTCTTCTGGTCAGGAAGGCCAACGGACTCCTGGGCTGCGTAGGGAAGAGTGTGGCCAGCAGGTCAAGGGAGGTCATTCTCCCCCTCTGCTCTGCACTGGGGAGGCCACAACTGGAATCCTGCGTCCAGTTCCAACTCTAAAAATTCAGTGAAATTCAGTGAAATTTCCAGGCTTTAATATCTTAAGATGCCTCACCTGGATCTGCAAGAGCAGTTTGTCCCCGCTTTGGAGCTCAGTTCTGGGGCTGCCTCCCTTCCAATGTGTATCACCCAAAAATGCTTCCAAATTGAATGTTCCTTGTAAGGATGCTCCAGGATCTGTGGTTGCATCCACCTGGTTATTCCAGGTGAATGCTTTCATCTCGCAGAGCTGATGATGACGATGCCCTTCAGCCGCAGGGCTGGAGTTACTGAGCTGGAAGAGAGGGATGTGAAGAGCCTGTGAGATAAATCCTCATCCTGGTTTTCAGACCCGTCTGGGTGATGGGGAAGTTTATGTTGGAAATTCAGGAGCTCTAGGGTTGGGTTTTTTTTATTTTTAGCAGGTGAATTCCTAACGAGTGTCAGCGTCTGGAAATAAAACCCAGGAAGGATGTAGATGTGGATGTAGATGTGGATGTGGATGTAGATGTAGATGTGGATGTGGATGTGCTCCTCAGTGGTCCCTCCCCAGGAGCTGGGATGGCTCCTGGAGAGCTCTGTGACTCCAAACCCCATCACCTCCAGTGTGGAAACTGGGAAAAAAGCACATTCCCTTTCTCCTTTTCATTCCGTATGGTTGCTAACTGGAATTATTTAATTTTTTTTTGTGCTTTTCAGGTGCTGGAGAGTCTGGGAAAAGCACCATCGTGAAGCAGATGAAGTAAGTGAGAGCGCAGACGTGTAAACCCCATTTTTGTGGAAGGTGAAATAAGGGCCGTGGAGTGCCTTACTGGTTTGGCCTGGGACTGACTGGCCTGGTTTTCTTCCAGGATTATTCATGAGGATGGCTACTCGGAGGAGGAATGCAAACAATATAAAGTGGTTGTCTACAGCAATACTATCCAGTCCATCATCGCCATCATAAGAGCCATGGGGAGGCTAAAGATAGACTTTGGGGAAGTTGCCAGAGCAGTAAGTATTTCATTTCTATTCCCTCAATTGTGTTAATGAATCCTGGAAATTCGAGCCGTGAGGCTCACGCTGGAAATTATGTTTCTTCCAAGATCCGACAGGGAAAGAGCTTTCATCATCTGTAACCTATTACCGGTGGAAAGAGTCAAGTATTTAATTGAGGTTGTGGGTAAAAACCTTTAGTAGTTTGAATGCTCGGGGAAAAAATAAATAAATAATCCCCACATCTTTGTCTTAACTATTGGAATTTTGAACAAAATTCTCAGGTTTAGGTTTGAATGGCTTGATGTCAGTCCTCAGTTGTGCTTCACAGCTTTGTGGCTGTGGATTTTTAAGCTGAGCCAAATAAATTGTGATACTTTTCACTACTTAGTTTAATATTTTTCACTACTTATCCCCTTAGTTTTTTAGGGGGGGTTTGAGGCCCTGCTTTTCCCCACCCATCCTGTTCTGCTGATTCCTTCCTTGGGTGGTTCCCAGCTTCGCCTTCTCTTCAAGAAGGTAGAACCTGAAGTCAGGATGTCTTTGCCCCCGTGGTGGTGGGGAGAAGGGTGGGCAGGACGGGGTGGAGGAGAAGGGAACTGTTTGTTCCACCCCAGGAACAGCCTGGGACTCGCTGCCCGGCACTAATTCTTCGTGTGCGCAGTCAGTGCACGGTCAGTGAAGCAATTTATTTCTTTGTGATGCAACCACAGACGTTTTGAACTTAGGATATAAAGCAGGTGCTCCAGCCCTTGGATCATCTCCATGGCTCTCTGCTGGAGTGGGGCCAGAGGAGATGCTGGGAGGGCTGGAGCCCCTCTGCTGGGAGGGGGGGCTGAGAGAGTTGGGGGGGTTCAGCCTGGAGAAGAGAAGGCTCCAGGGAGACCTTGGAGCCCCTTCCAGTCCCTCAAGGGGCTCCAGGAGAGATGGGGAGGGACTCTGGATCAGGGAGGGGAGCCAAAGGACAGAAGGGATGGAACTGGATAAGCTTTAAAGTCCCTTCCAACCCAAAACATGCTGTGATTCTATGGTGACTCCAACCCAGGGAAGGGGTGGAAGGGACCTTTAAGTTCATCAAGACCAACCATCAACCCAACACCAACCAACCCACCACTGACCCGTGTCCCTCAGCAACTGCTTTTAGATCCCTCCAGGGGTGGTATTTGGGGAGTGGAGCCACAGGATGAGGGGGAAGGGTTTTAAACCAAAAATTAGGAGATGGAGCTGAGATGTGGGGCAGAAATCCTTTGGTGTGAGGGTGGTGAGAGCCTGGCCCAGGTTGCCCCGAGAAGCTGTGGCTGCCCCATCCCTGGAGGGGTTCAAGGGCAGGTTGGAGGGGGCTTGGAGCAACGTGGGCTGGTGGGAGGTGTCCCTGCCCAGGGCAGGGGGTGGGAATGAGATGGTCTTCAAGGTCCCTTCCCACCCAAACCATTCTATGGGCAGATCTTTGCTTGCATGTCAACCCAGGCTGTTACTCCAAGTTCTCCTCCCGTTCCTCTCCGTGCTTGCCGAGGGCAAGAGGTGACCTCAGCTTTGTTGAGGAGGAGGAGGAGGAGGAAGATGGTAAAATCCAAGTTCCTTTCTCAGTTGCCCTGCCCAGGCTGAGCTGCTTTCCCAAAAGCAGAACAAGAGCCGGGTGCCAGGTACTTTTGTGTGTCCCAATCCACCCCCGAGGGCAAACGACTTGCCAAGCTTTCCTAGGAGAAGACCCAGGGTAACCAAATTTATTGTCTTTATTGTGCTCTCTGGCGTAGGCCGAGCTCAGGTTTGTGCTGGGCCACGTGGTTTAGGGATAAAATGAGAGGAATCAATGCTTGGGAGAAACCAGTCCCAAATGAGGAACTCACTGGGATGTTGGGAGGTCTCTGAGGTCTCCCCAGATGCTGCTGGTGGGGCCGATGGCTGCCGAGATGAACACCAGGGAGATGTAGATAAGCCTGGTTTTTGTTTTCAAACTCTGTCGTGAGCTTGTAGAGGAGCGAGGTCCTGCTCAAAGGCTTCTGAGGAGGATTTTTGATGCTCTGGGGGCAAACACTCAACCCCTGCTGGGTCCAGCCCGTCTCCTGATGAAGTGTTTTATTCAGAAATCGATCTCCCTTCTGACACTTTTTGCCACAAACGGCAACTCCGCAAAGCTTTAAACCCATAATCGTCCAAAACTGCTTCTGATACTGAATTTTTCCTTCTTGCCATCCTGTACAGCACCAAAAAAGAGTTTTTTCCAGTTTTAAAAACTATTATTTATCCTTTAGTTCATTATTCTATAGCAGCTTGTCGACGTTCTTACCTTTCCTTTGAAACGCTGCACCGGGTTGCCAAAATCTCATGTTATTGATGTGAATTCTGCCTGTTCTTCAGAGCTGTGTCCCCAAACAGGACCTGCCTTTCTGACAACAGGAGAAAAATAACTTGATTTGGGGGAAGAAGAGTGGATTGACAGCAGGAGAAAAGACACCACCATTCCTCCGAGCGGTTGCCGCACCCCCTGGGATCGTTACTGTAAAACTGTGATTTTTAAAAGGCATCAATGAGGATAAAGGTAGAAATAATGTGTTTTATTCCCTTTTTCCCTGCAGGATGATGCCCGTCAGCTGTTCGTGTTGGCTGGCAGTGCGGAGGAGGGGGTGATGACCGCCGAGCTGGCCGGGGTGATCAAACGGTTGTGGAGGGACGGCGGGGTCCAGGCCTGTTTCAGCAGATCCAGAGAATATCAGCTGAACGACTCCGCCTCATAGTAAGAAACCGTTCCCCCTCAAAAAAAAAAATGGGCTTCAAAAAGAGCCACTTTGTCCAAGCAAGGTGGTATTTGGGTGGTGAGGGGTGGACAGGAGCCCTGGTCTGACTGGTTTAGACTGGGCAGGGCTTAGGAGGTGACTGGGGGGTTTGGTTCAGCAAAGTCAGTTTTGCCGTTTGTTTTTTCCTCTTTTTTTTTTTTTTTTTCTTTATCCTTTAGTTCATTATTCTATAGCAGCTTGTCGACGTTCTTACCTTTCCTTTGAAACGCTGCACCGGGTTGCCAAAATCTCATGTTATTGATGTGAATTCTGCCTGTTCTTCAGAGCTGTGTCCCCAAACAGGACCTGCCTTTCTGACAACAGGAGAAAAATAACTTGATTTGGGGGAAGAAGAGTGGATTGACAGCAGGAGAAAAGACACCACCATTCCTCCGAGCGGTTGCCGCAGCCCCTGGGATCGTTACTGTTAAACTGTGATTTTTAAAAGGTATCAATGAGGATAAAGGTGGAAATAAGGTGTTTTATTCTCTTTTTCAATGCAGGATGATGCCCGTCAGCTGTTCGTGTTGGCTGGCAGTGCAGAGGAGGGGGTGATGACCGCCGAGCTGGCCGGGGTGATCAAACGGTTGTGGAGGGACGGCGGGGTCCAGGCCTGTTTCAGCAGATCCAGAGAATATCAGCTGAACGACTCCGCCTCATAGTAAGAAACCGTTCCCCCTCAAAAAAAAAAATGGGCTTCAAAAAGAGCCACTTTGTCCAAGCAAGGTGGTATTTGGGTGGTGAGGGGTGGACAGGAGCCCTGGTCTGACTGGTTTAGACTGGGCAGGGCTTAGGAGGTGACTGGGGGGTTTGGTTCAGCAAAGTCAGTTTTGCCGTTTGTTTTTTCCTCTTTTTTTTTTTTTTTTTTCTGGATGAATCTGGTTTTTATGAAGGAATGTGCCCTCGTGGCCAAGAAGGCCAATGGCATCCTGGGGGGGGGGGCATCAGGAAGAACTTGGGCATCAAGTTCATCATCATCATCACTTGATTCTGTGATCCTATAATCAGGTGGAGGGAGGTCATCCTGCCCCTCTGCTCTGCCCTGGTGGGGCTCCAGCTGGAGCACTGGGACCAGTTCTGGGCTCCCCAGTTCCAGAAGGACAGGGAACTGCTGGAGAGGGGACAGCAGAGGGTACAGAGATGATGAGGGGCCTGGAGCATCTCTCTTACGAGGAGAGGCTGAGGGACTTGGGGCTTTTGGGGCTGGAGAAGAGGAGGCTGAGGGGGGATCTGATCAACACCTATAAATCCTTCAAGGGTGGGTGTCAGGAGGATGGGGCTGGTCTTTTTTCAGTGGTGCCCAGGGACAGGACAAGAGGGAACGGGCACGAACTTGACCATAAGAAGTTCCATCTCAACATGAGGAGGAACTTCTTCACTTTGAGGGTGGCAGAGCCCTGGCAGAGGCTGCGCAGGGAGGTGGTGGAGTCTTCTTCTCTGGAGATCTTCAAGCCCCACCTGGATGCTCCTGAGTGATGTGCTCTGGGCAACCCTTCTCTGGCAGGGGGGTTGGACTAGATGATCTCTAGAGGTCCCTTCCAACTCTGACAATTCCATGATGATTTTGGGGGTTAAGTTGCCTCCCAATGTTCAGCTGAAAACTGATCTCCATTAAGCCTTTGATAAAAATGAGTCTGGAAGTGCTTTATTAAAAAAAAACCCAAACACTTCAGATGTGTCACGGCTCGGTTGCCTGCAGGCTCTGTCGGCGCATCAAGTTCATCATCATCATCACTTGATTCTGTGATCCTATAATCAGGTGGAGGGAGGTCATCCTCCCCCTCTGCTCTGCCCTGGTGGGGCTCCAGCTGGAGCACTGGGACCAGTTCTGGGCTCCCCAGTTCCAGAAGGACAGGGAACTGCTGGAGAGGGGACAGCAGAGGGTACAGAGATGATGAGGGGCCTGGAGCATCTCTCTTACGAGGAGAGGCTGAGGGACTTGGGGCTTTTGGGGCTGGAGAAGAGGAGGCTGAGGGGGGATCTGATCAACACCTATAAATCCTTCAAGGGTGGGTGTCAGGAGGATGGGGCTGGTCTTTTTTCAGTGGTGCCCAGGGACAGGACAAGAGGGAACGGGCACGAACTTGACCATAAGAAGTTCCATCTCAACATGAGGAGGAACTTCTTCACTTTGAGGGTGGCAGAGCCCTGGCAGAGGCTGCGCAGGGAGGTGGTGGAGTCTTCTTCTCTGGAGATCTTCAAGCCCCACCTGGATGCTCCTGAGTGATGTGCTCTGGGCAACCCTTCTCTGGCAGGGGGGTTGGACTAGATGATCTATAGAGGTCCCTTCCAACTCTGACAATTCCATGATGATTTTGGGGGTTAAGTTGCCTCCCAATGTTCAGCTGAAAACTGATCTCCATTAAGCCTTTGATAAAAATGAGTCTGGAAGTGCTTTATTAAAAAAAAACCCAAACACTTCAGATGTGTCACGGCTCGGTTGCCTGCAGGCTCTGTCGGCGCGGAGCAACATTTTTGCTTGAAAATGATGATTTTTTCCTTAATTTGTAACACCTTGGCAGGGTATCGGGGAGTTTAGATCAAGGTAATTGAGATGACAAGAGGAGGCTTGCTCCGATCCGCCTGTGCCGTGCGAGGAGGAAACTGCAGATTCAAAGGGAGTTAAAAAAAAAAAAAAAGCGCGGAGCAACATTTTTGCTTGAAAATGATGATTTTTTCCTTAATTTGTAACACCTTGGCAGGGTATCGGGGAGTTTAGATCAAGGTAATTGAGATGACAAGAGGAGGCTTGCTCCGATCCGCCTGTGCCGTGCGGGGAGGAAACTGCAGATTCAAAGGGAGTTAAAAAAAAAAAAAAAAAAAAAAAAGAGAGATGAGGAGGGGGGTTGGGTGAGGGAATAATTTAATGAGGAGAAAAGAGAAAAGCTTAAGGACTTCTGGAGCGGAAGATCTAGGGCAGAAAGCACAAGGGGTTGAGCGGAGCTTAAGGAGGACGCTGGGGATGGGGAACCTGATGGTCTGTTTGAAAGAGGAGGAGGAGGAGGATGGAGAAAACGGGGCAGAAAGGTGGTCTGGAGGTCAGGGACGGGGGAACATCAGCCGGTTTTAATCGGCCCCAGCTTGTCCTGAATCATAGAATCACAGAATCATAGAATTGCCCAGGCCGGAAGGGACCTCCAAAGGCCATCTAGTCCCACCCCCCCGCAGTCAGCAGGGACACCCCCAACTAGACCAGGTTGCCCAGGGCCTCGTCGAGCCTCTCCTTGAATATCTCCAGGGAAGGGGCCTCAACCACCTCCCTGGGCAACCTGTTCCAGTGCTCCACCACCCTCCCAGTGAAGAACCCTCTCCTCATCTCCAGTCTCAATCTGTTCCCCTCCAGCTTGAAGCCATTGCCCCTCGTCCTGTCACTGCAGGCCTTTCTAAACAGGCTCTCCCCAGCCTTCCTGTAGGCTCCCTTCAGGTACTGGAAGGCTGCTATTAGGTCTCCCTGGAGCCTCCTCTTCTCCAGGCTGAACAACCCCAGCTCCCTCAGCCTGTCCTCGGAGCAGAGGTGCTCCATCCCCCTGATCATCCTTGTGGCCCTCCTCTGGACCCTCTCCATCAGGTCCATGTCCTTCTTATATTGAGGGCTCCAGACCTGCACACAATACTCCAGGTGAGGTCTCACCAGAGCAGAGTAAAGTGGCAGAATCCCCTCTCTGGACCTGCTGGCAACGCAGATTTGATGCAGCCCAGGATGGGATTGACCTTCTGGGCTGCAGCTGCCCACAGCCTGCTCATGTCCAGCTTCTCCTCCACCAGCACCCCCAAGTCCTGACTGGATTTGGGAGGGTTATTCCTGTCCCTGAATATCTACAACCCACTCCTGTCCAGTTCCTGGAAGCGGGAGGCGTGGGCAGAGCTGTGGTGACGGGCTGGTGTCACGTCGGTGGGACGGGGACATCTCAGCCCCATGACGACGGGGGTGTTTTGCTCATAAACACATCAGAGGATGTTGCTCCCCGTCCTGAGGCCACAGGAAACGGTGCTAAAAGCAGCTTTATTTTGGCTGAGTGGCCCAGGAAACGCTGCGAGTGGGTGCCTTCTCTTCTTCCCTAATGACTTCCCTCCTTCATGCTCAAAGGATGGGCCTCTTGACTCCAATTTGGTGGTGGTGGCCACGTAGGGGACCAGTTTTTGTGCCAAGTTCTCTCCAGGGAGTTTCACTTCCCCTTTCTTTTCCGTCTCTCCGACAAACGGGGCTGAAACTTCACGGTCAGGAGCCTTTTGATACCTGCCCTGTTTGAAATGATGGAATTCCAGTTGGAAAACCAGTATGGAGCTGTTTTGTGCCCAGTTCTGGCTGCCTTGGGAGCTGCTCCTCGCTTCACGTCTCGGCAGAAACACCCAGAAAAGGGGAGGAAAACGTAAAAAGAGGAACAAATGAGCAACCGCTTGTGAAAATGAGGTGGTGTCAAGAAGGAGAGCCCTGTGGCCGAGCGCCAAGGCTGTCAGGGCACCATCGAGTTGTTCCAAAAAAGCTTTTCTTCCTGCTCTTTCTGGCCTCATTGAACGTTTCCCCCCGGTGCCAGGGGGGTCCTACCCCTCGGGAGCTGCCCCTGGTGTGAGGAGAGGAGGAAACTGGGATAACGGCGCCACGGGCAGAGATGGCTTCCGAAGATAACCCCTCGTGAGGGTGATCTGAATGATCTGGCCTGAAATCTTAGTGGGATGTCACATGGTTTCTTCTTATTTTTGAAGAAACAGTTGGGTAACTCTCGGTCTAAACTGTGGATGGTCAAGCAGTGGTGTGAGATCTCGGTGTCTTCTCCAGGCACCATCTGATAATCGTGGAATGGTTTGGGTTCTGACATCCCTCTGTAACACCCACCCCACTCTTTTGGTGTGACATTTCAAACATCTATATTTTTACCTGCCTGATTACAACTTCCCATTTGGCTTTTCCTCTGAGCTCAGCTCTGTCTCTCACCTCTCCTGGCAGCCACAGCTTCTCGGGGCAACCTGGACCAGGCTCTCACCACCCTCACAGCCAAGAATTCCTTCCACACATCTCATCTCAGTCTCCTAATTTTTGGTTTAAAACCCTTCCCCCTCATCCTATGGCTCCACTCCCCAAATACCATCCCTGGAGGGATCTAAAAGCTGTTGCTGAGGGACACGGGTCAGTGGTGGGTTGGTCGGTGTTGGGTTGATGGTTGGTCTTGATGAACTTAAAGGTCCCCTCCAACCCAGGGAAGGGGTGGAATCGCCATAGAATCACAGCACGTTTTGGGTTGGAAGGGACCTTAAAGCTTATCCAGTTCCATCCCTTCTAGTGGCTGGGACATCTTCAATGAGACCAGGTTGCCCAAAGCCCCCTCCAACCTGCCCTTGAACCCCTCCAGGGATGGGGCAGCCACAGCTTCTCGGGGCAACCTGGGCCAGGCTCTCACCACCCTCACACCAAACAAGTTCTTTATTTTTACCTGCCTGATTACAACTTCCCATTTGGCTTTTCCTCTGAGCTCAGCTCTGTCTCTCACCTCTCCTGGCTCCGGGCGATGCCGTGGAGAAACATTTCAGTCCCAGGTACACGATTCCTGGTGTACAAGCCCAGACCCCGAGGTGATGGTGGAGCCAGGTGGGTCCTGAGGCATCTTCAGGTACCTCCATCTGGGACCTGGACACGTCAGCAAGTTGATAATACTTTAAAATATTTTACTTGCTGCTTTCGGTACTTTATCCAAACTTCATGCCGACACCGGTCTGCAGATACTGTAGGTAATTACCTGCAGTTCTCCCAGGCAATTAACATAGTTTCTAATTAACCATTCTCTTATTCTGCCCTATCTTGTCTTGTTCCCAAGTGGCAGGTTTTGGCCTGAATTCCCTGACACGGTGGCTGGGGGAAAACTAGATGATGGGTGCTGGGGAAAAACTAGGATATTTCCAAGTGGATGTTTTCCTCCTCTTGGCTTTCAAGCTCTGGCTTCGGGGCATCGTCTTCCCGATGTTTTCCTGTGATTCCCCTCCAGTAGCATCCCCTTGGGATCACAACTCAGGTTCCTGAAGGGAGTTTTTTCGCCCGTGGGTCTGTCTTTAGCTGGCCCAGATGAGCATTCAGATGGATAAAGGTAATAACACCCTCCTTTTCCTGGAGATCCTTCTCTCTTACCTCGTTTTCTGCTCCGTCTGCCAAAAATCCAGCTAAACACGAAGGGGAGGAGGCAGAATTCTGCAAAAGAAAGGCTTTTTTTTATTTTTAAAATCTAGGTTCCACCTGCTTTTTTTCTCCTGCTGCGGGAAGACCTGGCTGTAAGTGATTAATTCTATACGAGCTCTCAACCCAGGCAGGAAAAACCCCGTTTGTGTTTTCAACCTGGCACTTTCAGGCTCTTGGGATGACATTTCTGGAAAGCTTGGGCTTTGGTGGGTGCAAATCTCCACCCGTTTGGGTACCAGACCCCCATCTTTCTGCCCCCCCTTTGGCATCTTTTCTCCCCTCCCTGGCAGAAGCCAGGCTTTTGTTGGCTGCTCTGCCCTGGGGCGTGATGGTGACAGCCCCCCCCCTCCTCCTCTGCTTTTTTTTTCCTGCTGCGGGAAGACCTGGCTGTAAGTGATTAATTCTATACGAGCTCTCAACCCAGGCAGGAAAAACCCCGTTTGTGTTTTCAACCTGGCACTTTCAGGCTTTTGGGATGACATTTCTGGAAAGCTTGGGCTTTGGTGGGTGCAAATCTCCACCCGTTTGGGTACCAGACCCCCATCTTTCTGCCCCCCCTTTGGCATCTTTTCTCCCCTCCCTGGCAGAAGCCAGGCTTTTGTTGGCTGCTCTGCCCTGGGGCGTGATGGTGACAGCCCCCCCCCTCCTCCTTCCCAGAGCTCAGGCTGCGGATAAGAAATGCTTTGTATGAATCTTTCAGAGCCCTTTTTTTGGCCTTGAAAGCGTTTTTTTGTTGTTTTTTTTTTTTTTCCTAGCGCTGAAAGGGAACACGAGTGAATTTGTTAGGAAAACACCACGGCAGGGCTGGTGTGAGCCTGGGGAGGAGGGGGAGGAACTCTCTTATCTTCAGCAGTTCCCCATCAGAACATCCTTCTCCTGCCCTCAATGTTTTCTTAGAGGGTCTGAGATGGGACCACACTGAAATTGGGAGGTTTTTCTGCTGGGGCAGGTATTGAAGCAGTGCCAGGGTGCCCTGGGGGGTCACCCAGCCAGACACTGCTTAAGCTACAACCTTTTGCTCAGCTTTTTTCTTTGGTTTTGTGTTTTAAGGGTGAAAAAAAAAAAGGGAGACAAATCCAAAGTGTCTTTTCACAACCTCGTGTTTGCCAGGTGGTGGTGGAAATGTGAGAAAGAGTTTGGCTCCGTAAACAGGGGAGAAAAGGAGCTGGGAAGAAGTGGGGAAGGGGGTTCAAACCCCATGGGGTCGGAGGAAGATGCAGGAAGATCTACCTCCTCAGTTCCTGAAATAATCTTGAGGAGGAACATCTTGAACCTTTCGGACAGACCCAAGCTGGGGGGTTAGGAGATGCTCGAAACCGTGAGTTTCAGATTGTGCTTTTCCAGGTGGTTTTTTCCAAGTCCCACTGAATCCCTGGAGGGAAACAAGTGGGAATTGGTGCAGTTGAGCTCTGCAAACTGGTTTTCTCGGGTGCCCATGAGCCCAGTCGCCTCGGGCAAGGTGAGGGATGGCTGGAGGAGGCCACACATCCTTGGTTTGCTACCAAGAAATCCCCTCTGCTGGGTCTTCCAACTGCTTCAGCCTTTCTGTGGGGTCTGGTATTTATTTTCCATTTATTTTCCCTTCAAATCTCCCTGGAATTAACCTGGCAAAGCTTATTTTTATTATTTTTTTTTTGAAGGCAGCTCGTGGCTGGAGCTTCATCTGCTCCACCTCGTCCCCCCAGGGCCGTGCCCATCACTTTGCTTGCAATTCCCTGGCTCCCTCTTTTCCCCCTAAAGAGCCTGAACTGGGAATTGCACCAGTTCCTCTGCCCAACCTTCTGCTGCCGAAAAAGCCAGCAATTAGGAGCAGATGTTTTACAGCTTCATTTATCATTTCAGCCCTGGCACGTTTATCCCTTGGGTGATTCGGGGCAGCTGTGTGACCCGTATCGAAGCCGAGTTGCTGGGTCAGGTCTGCCATCAGCTTTTTCAACCGGCTAAAACACATACTGGTAGGGGAAAAAAAGGAGGGGGGGAAAAATCTGGGCACGTTATTTCCTCAGCTGAAATATTTCTATGAAGGTAAGAACCTTCTAAATTCTGTTTTAGTGAAACTAAAGGCCGGTCCCAAGTGTAAGTTTTGGGTGCTGTGTTTCTGGTGACAGAGTAGGTCACAAAGGGGTCACCCCATGGAAGAGGAGAGAGAGGAAGGAGAGGAATTGGCCCTTTCTGGGCTAAAACAACTCATGGGATGAAAGATCTTTGAGAAAAGCCCCGGGTGAGCGTGTACAGGAGGTTGGATTCTTCCAGAGCTCAGAAAATAGCTCCTCAAGGGGCTCCAGGAGAGATGGGGAGGGACTCTGGATCAGGGAGGGGAGCCCTAGGAGGAGACGGAGGGGTTTGACCCTGAAAGAGGAGAGATTTGGCTTAGATATTAGGAAGAAGATTTTCACTCTGAGGGTGGTGAGAGCCTGGCCCAGGTTGCCCCGAGAAGCTGTGGCTGCCCCATCCCTGGAGGGGTTCAAGGGCAGGTTGGAGGGGGCTTTGGGCAACCTGGTCTCATTGAAGATGTCCCAGCCACTAGAAGGGATGGAACTGGATAAGCTTTAAGGTCCCTTCCAACCCAAAACGTGCTGTGATTCTATGGCGATTCCAGCCCTTCCCTGGGTTGGAGGGGACCTTTAAGTTCATCAAGACCAACCATCAACCCAACACCGACCAACCCACCACTGACCCGTGTCCCTCAGCAACGGCTTTTAGATCCCTCCAGGGATGGTATTTGGGGAGGGGAGCCATAGGATGAGGGGGAAGGGTTTGACACTGAAAGAGGGGAGATGGAGCTGAGATGTGGGGCAGAAATCCTTTGGTGTGAGGGTGGTGAGAGCCTGGCCCAGGTTGCCCAGAGAAGCTGTGGCTGCCCCATCCCTGGAGGGGTTCAAGGGCAGGTTGGAGGGGGCTTGGAGCAACGTGCTCTGGTGGGAGGTGTCCCTGCCCAGGGCAGAAGAGTGGGAACTCGATGATCTTCAAGGTCCCTTCCAACCCAAACCTTTCTGTGATTCCGTGAAACAGCTTCCTCCGTCGCGTGGCGTCCGGGAGCCGTCGAGAGCTGCGTTAATTTGCTGTTGCTAAAGGAGGTGAAGGAATCTGCCTCTTCTGGGGGTAGTTCTTGAGGCTTCATTCTTTCCTCCTGCCTCCTTTGACGTGCCCTTGCCCTTTAAAAACCAGCCGCGGGATTTATTGCCTTGTGCTTTGATGCCAAAGACCTTGAATTGCTTTGAATTGCCCCAAGAGATACCGCTCTTGGCGTGGCTTCAACAGCAGCAGCAGCACTTCCCGGGCTTGCTGCTTATCAGCCTACACTTTGTGGGGCAAAGTCATGTGGGGAAGGGTTAAAAATCCCCCCCCAAAAACCACAAAATCAATCCTTGGTGATAAGGGGAGGGGGGGGTTTGTTTGCTGCGTGTTCGGGGTCTTTCCTGTGCGAAAGCGATGAATGAATTCCCTGATGAAATGATGAAATGCTGTTCTTCTGCAGTTTATAAAAGATTCATGGCTGTCAGGCAGCCTAAAAAAAGCCCGTTTTGTGTTGTCTCCTCTGGTTTAGTTACCTGAACGACTTGGATAGAATATCCCAGCCGACCTACATCCCCACCCAGCAGGACGTCCTGAGGACCAGGGTTAAAACCACCGGCATCGTGGAAACCCACTTCACCTTCAAGGACCTGTATTTCAAGTAAGCCAAGCCCCCCTGGGGGTGTTTTGGGGACCTGGTGGGTCATGTGTCCCCTCCACCCCAACACCCTGGGCTGTAAAACCTTCTCTCCTCCTCCTCCTCCTCCTCTTCCTCGCCGCCGTTGCGCTCCCTCTCTCCCTGGCACCGCTCACCGGGGAGACCGGTTTGACTTTTATTTGCCTTCTTCTGTTCTTTCCAGCTGCTTTTCTGTTGGAATCGCAGACACAGGTACCGGCTGCTTGTTTGTAGGATCCACCCCTCCAAAAAAAAAACCAAAAACAAAACCCCACAAATACTAAAAGGACACTGGCTGCTGGATTTTGGAGTTTGAATTTAACCCTGTCCTGCAAAGCGGGAGATGAAGCCTCTCCCCACGCTCCCAGCCTCAGCTCTGGGCTACCTGGTCTTCTCCAGGAGGCTGTAGGTGACACTGGGGACCTTGGTGTGACACCCCAGGGGATGGGACATCCATCCCTGTCCCTTCTGCCTTCTAAATCCAGTTCCTTCAGGGCTCGGACCTGGCAGTGTCCCTTTACTATCACTAACAGAGCTTCCTCTAACCCCGTAGCGGCTGCTCGCCTGCCTTTTAGCTCTCCCCCTCCCTGCTCTCCCTCTGCTCGTTAGAAAATCCTCATTAGATCTTGGCTTTGGATCCCTTGTGGGCTCCCAACAAACAGCCTGGACCCCCTTAGGGTCAGGCTTTTGTGTCCCATAACGTGGGTGTCAGAAAAAGTGGGTTCCTTTCCTCTGCCACGACGTTTTCCAGCCTGTGTTGCTCCCAGCCTTTAAATAAGCATTTATTTGCTTATTTCTCTTTAGCTTGTGTTTGAAAACGGTTTGAAAGAGCTGCAAAAAAAATCTTGAGCGTGGCTATATAATCTGAGTGATAAAATCTGACCCCTTTGCACGCTTTTTTTGGGGGAGAACAGTCGCGTTTTGGCTTCGGACCCAGCTTAACTCGACGTTTTAACAAAAAACACCTGAATGCTTTTGCGTCACCGAGCTCTTTCCGTGGCTTCTGGTTCCTTCATCCCGGGGGGGGTGGAAAAACCCCTCATCTCCTGCTGTGATATCTCAGGATTAGCCTTCCCAGCTGTGGGACCTGCCCTGGGCTGCTCAAAAATCCTCTCCATCAGACGTGAGCTGGAGGTGGTGGGTTGTTTTATTGTTTAATGGTTAAAATCCTCCTTTTCGAGGGGAAAAAGGGGGTGCTGAGAGGGGGGATGGCTCTTTCCCCATCTCTCCTGGAGTCATGGATCATGTGTGGAGCCCAAGATGCTCCACGTCCCCTCCAGGAGGGATTTGGCCCACGAAAGGAAGCATTAATACATCTCAAACCCTGAAGCCACCATCCTTCCTGCAATAGGAACCTTGATGTCCCATCTCGATGGTGACCAAGGGGCTGAGATGGCCTCAGCAGAGCTGTGACTCCCAATTTGGGATTCACTTGGCCACACTGGGATGTCAGGGACGCTGGTCCTTTCCAGATGGCTCAGCCCTACCAGCAGAGTAATGGCAAACGAGGGAAGCGATTAAATACCCCGTATCCTCATGAAAATCTTCATCTTTCCCCGCTGTGGGGGAGGGTTTATCTTAAAGAGGAGCCAGGATTTGGCCAAACTCCTTTAGCATCGTTAAATTATGTCCCTTTTGGCCCAGCCCGGGTGGTTTTCCCTCCCGTCTGCCTGTTTGAGAACAAATCCATGGTTAGGATTTTCCTAACTCTTGGGTATTGACTCGTATCTGGTTTGATTTAACCAAATCACAGCCCCTCAGGACAATCCCTCTCCAAATACTGTCCTGAGCAGAGGGTTGTAACCCTGTGGTGAGACACATCTTGTTTTACACACAGGAATTCTGTCAGCAGCTTTCAAACTTCACATTATTTTGGCTTTTTTTAAAATTTAAATACACAAAACTGCTTCTTCACCCCCTGAACTCTTTTCCTGGGCCCCTGGTAGTGGTGGGCAGGGGAGCGTGTTCCAGCTCATCCCCAGTCAGAGTTGGGTGTAAATGAACTGGAAACGTTGAGGGTGAGGAGGTGTTTGGAGTCCGGTGGAGCAAAAAGGATGGTTGCTAAGGAAATAAGAGGCAGAGAACAAAATAAACGTGGCCGGGTGAATCAGCAGAGTTCTGGAGAACCAGGGAGGAAACCTCTGCTTCTTCCTGCTGAAAATGTCCTAAAGAAAAAGAACTTGAAAATCCAGAGGGATTTAAAAAGAGGCCTCGGAGCTGGTGGCCTGGCCTGTGCGTGTTTTCCCCAAATCCTGCTTTTTTTAGAGTTCCTCAGTTCCTCAGAGCCTCCTCCGTCCCCCGACGTGGTGGCCGGGGAGGTCTCCATAGCTTCTGAGATGGTTCTCCTGCCTCTCCCAGGATGTTTGATGTTGGTGGCCAACGGTCAGAGCGGAAGAAGTGGATCCACTGCTTCGAAGGCGTGACGGCGATTATCTTCTGCGTGGCCCTCAGCGATTACGACCTCGTCTTGGCTGAGGATGAGGAGATGGTAAGTGATGGAGAAGTTTCCAGCCCTCACCTACGTGGGGCTGTAAAAGGGAGGTGGAATCGTGGGGTGGGCACGTCTCTGGCTGGTTCCTCTTGTTGCAATTCTTCAAGGGCTGTGAAGAAAAGCACTTCCTTGCGGCAGCCTGTGGTATCTTGCCCCAGAAATGGATAAATATTATCACAGAATGGTTTGGGTGGGAAGGGAACTTAAAGACCATCTCATTCCCACCCCCTGCCCTGGGCAGGGACACCTCCCACCAGCCCAGGTTGCTCCAAGCCCCCTCCAACCTGCCCTTGAACCCCTCCAGGGATGGGGCAGCCACAGCTTCTCGGGGCAACCTGGGCCAGGCTCTCACCACCCTCCCAGCCAAGAAGTTCTGCCCCACATCTCATCTAAACCTCCACTCTTTTGGTTTAAAACCATTCCCTCCTGTCCTTTGGCTCCCCTCCCTGATCCAGAGTCCCTCCCCATCTCTCCTGGAGCCCCTTGAGGGACTGGAAGGGGCTCCAAGAAACAACTTCCTCCGTTGCGTGGCGTCCGGGAGCCGTCGAGAAGTGCGTTAATTTGCTGTTGCTAAAGGAGGTGAAGGAATCTGCCTCTTCTGGGGGTAGTTCTTGAGGCTTCATTCTTTCCTCCTGCCTCCTTTGACGTGCCCTTGCCCTTTAAAAACCAGCCGCGGGATTTATTGCCTTGTGCTTTGATGCCAAAGACCTTGAATTGCTTTGAATTGCCCCAAGAGATACCGCTCTTGGCGTGGCTTCAACAGCAGCAGCAGCACTTCCCGGGCTTGCTGCTTATCAGCCTACACTTTGTGGGGCAAAGTCATGTGGGGAAGGGTTAAAAATCCCCCCCCAAAAACCACAAAATCAATCCTTGGTGATAAGGGGAGGGGGGGGTTTGTTTGCTGCGTGTTCGGGGTCTTTCCTGTGCGAAAGCGATGAATGAATTCCCTGATGAAATGATGAAATGCTGTTCTTCTGCAGTTTATAAAAGATTCATGGCCGTCAGGCAGCCTAAAAAAAGCCCGTTTTGTGTTGTCTCCTCTGGTTTAGTTACCTGAACGACTTGGATAGAATATCCCAGCCGACCTACATCCCCACCCAGCAGGACGTCCTGAGGACCAGGGTTAAAACCACCGGCATCGTGGAAACCCACTTCACCTTCAAGGACCTGTATTTCAAGTAAGCCAAGCCCCCCTGGGGGTGTTTTGGGGACCTGGTGGGTCATGTGTCCCCCCCACCCCAACACCCTGGGCTGTAAAACCTTCTCTCCTCCTCCTCCTCCTCCTCTTCCTCGCCGCCGTTGCGCTCCCTCTCTCCCTGGCACCGCTCACCGGGGAGACCGGTTTGACTTTTATTTGCCTTCTTCTGTTCTTTCCAGCTGCTTTTCTGTTGGAATCGCAGACACAGGTACCGGCTGCTTGTTTGTAGGATCCACCCCTCCAAAAAAAAAACCAAAAACAAAACCCCACAAATACTAAAAGGACACTGGCTGCTGGATTTTGGAGTTTGAATTTAACCCTGTCCTGCAAAGCGGGAGATGAAGCCTCTCCCCACGCTCCCAGCCTCAGCTCTGGGCTACCTGGTCTTCTCCAGGAGGCTGTAGGTGACACTGGGGACCTTGGTGTGACACCCCAGGGGATGGGACATCCATCCCTGTCCCTTCTGCCTTCTAAATCCAGTTCCTTCAGGGCTCGGACCTGGCAGTGTCCCTTTACTATCACTAACAGAGCTTCCTCTAACCCCGTAGCAGCTGCTCGCCTGCCTTTTAGCTCTCCCCCTCCCTGCTCTCCCTCTGCTCGTTAGAAAATCCTCATTAGATCTTGGCTTTGGATCCCTTGTGGGCTCCCAACAAACAGCCTGGACCCCCTTAGGGTCAGGCTTTTGTGTCCCATAACGTGGGTGTCAGAAAAAGTGGGTTCCTTTCCTCTGCCACGACGTTTTCCAGCCTGTGTTGCTCCCAGCCTTTAAATAAGCATTTATTTGCTTATTTCTCTTTAGCTTGTGTTTGAAAACGGTTTGAAAGAGCTGCAAAAAAATCTTGAGCGTGGCTATATAATCCGAGTGATAAAATCTGACCCCTTCGCACGCTTTTTTTGGGGGAGAACAGTCGCGTTTTGGCTTCGGACCCAGCTTAACTCAACGTTTTAACAAAAAACACCTGAATGCGTTTGCGTCACCGAGCTCTTTCCGTGGCTTCTGGTTCCTTCATCCCGGGGGGGGTGGAAAAACCCCTCATCTCCTGCTGTGATATCTCAGGATTAGCCTTCCCAGCTGTGGGACCAGCCATGGGCTGCTCAAAAATCCTCCCCGTCAGACGTGAGCTGGAGGTGGTGGGGGGTTTTATTGTTTAATGGTTAAAACCCTCCTTTCCGAGGGGAAAAAGGGAGTGCTGAGAGGGGGGATGGCTCTTTCCCCATCTCTCCTGGAGTCATGGATCATGTGTGGAGCCCAAGATGCTCCACGTCCCCTCCAGGAGGGATTTGGCCCACGAAAGGAAGCGTTAATACATCTCAAACCCTGAAGCCACCATCCTTCCTGCAATAGGAACCTTGATGTCCCATCTCGATGGTGACCAAGGGGCTGAGATGGCCTCAGCAGAGCTGTGACTCCCAATTTGGGATTCACTTGGCCACACTGGGATGTCAGGGACGCTGGTCCTTTCCAGATGGCTCAGCCCTACCAGCAGAGTAATGGCAAACGAGGGAAGTGATTAAATACCCTGTATCCTCAGGAAAATCTTCATCTTTCCCCGCTGTGGTCCACGGGGAGGGTTTATCTTAAAGAGGAGCCAGGATTTGGCCAAACTCCTTTAGCATCGTTAAATTATGTCCCTTTTGGCCCAGCCCGGGTGGTTTTCCCTCCCGTCTGCCTGTTTGAGAACAAATCCATGGTTAGGATTTTCCTAACTCTTGGGTATTGACTCGTATCTGGTTTGATTTAACCAAATCACAGCCCCTCAGGACAATCCCTCTCCAAATACTGTCCTGAGCAGAGGGTTGTAACCCTGTGGTGAGACACATCTTGTTTTACACACAGGAATTCTGTCAGCAGCTTTCAAACTTCACATTATTTTGGCTTTTTTTAAAATTTAAATACACAAAACTGCTTCTTCACCCCCTGAACTCTTTTCCTGGGCCCCTGGTAGTGGTGGGCAGGGGAGCGTGTTCCAGCTCATCCCCAGTCAGAGTTGGGTGTAAATGAACTGGAAACGTTGAGGGTGAGGAGGTGTTTGGAGTCCGGTGGAGCAAAAAGGATGGTTGCTAAGGAAATAAGAGGCAGAGAACAAAATAAACGTGGCCGGGTGAATCAGCAGAGTTCTGGAGAGCTGGGGAGGAAACCTCTGCTTCTTCCTGCTGAAAATGTCCTAAAGAAAAAGAACTTGAAAATCCAGAGGGATTTAAAAAGAGGCCTCGGAGCTGGTGGCTTGGCCTGTGCGTGTTTTCCCCAAATCCTGCTTTTTTTAGAGTTCCTCAGTTCCTCAGAGCCTCCTCCGTCCCCCGACGTGGTGGCCGGGGAGGTCTCCATAGCTTCTGAGATGGTTCTCCTGCCTCTCCCAGGATGTTTGATGTTGGTGGCCAACGGTCGGAGCGGAAGAAGTGGATCCACTGCTTCGAAGGCGTGACGGCGATTATCTTCTGCGTGGCCCTCAGCGATTACGACCTCGTCTTGGCTGAGGATGAGGAGATGGTAAGTGATGGAGAAGTTTCCAGCCCTCACCTACGTGGGGCTGTAAAAGGGAGGTGGAATCGTGGGGTGGGCACACCTCTGGCTGGTCCCTCTTGTTGTAGTTCTTCAAGGGCTGTGAAGAAAAGCACTTCCTTGCGGCAGCCTGTGGTATCTTGCCCCAGAAATGGATAAATATTATCACAGAATGGTTTGGGTGGGAAGGGAACTTAAAGACCATCTCATTCCCACCCCTTGCCCTGGGCAGGGACACCTCCCACCAGCCCAGGTTGCTCCAAGCCCCCTCCAACCTGCCCTTGAACCCCTCCAGGGATGGGGCAGCCACAGCTTCTCGGGGCAACCTGGGCCAGGCTCTCACCACCCTCCCAGCCAAGAAGTTCTGCCCCACATCTCATCTAAACCTCCACTCTTTTGGTTTAAAACCATTCCCTCCTGTCCTTTGGCTCCCCTCCCTGATCCAGAGTCCCTCCCCATCTCTCCTGGAGCCCCTTGAGGGACTGGAAGGGGCTCCAAGGTCTCCCTGGAGCCTTCTCTTCTCCAGGCTGAACCCCCCGAACTCTCTCAGCAGCAGAGGGGCTTCAACCCTCCCAGCATCTCCGTGGCCTCCTTTGGCCCCATCCAACAGCTCCATGTCCTTCTGGTGTGTTGGTGGCCCCAGAATCCCCCCCCTTGCCCTGCTGGCCACGGGGCTGGGGATGCAGCCCAGGGTGTGGGGGGCTTGTTGGGCTGCCAACGCACATCACCGGGGCCTGTGGAGCTTCTCACCCACCAATAACGATGGGGACAGGAGATTTTTCTCCATGCCCTGGTCACAGGGAGGTGCTGTGGGTTGTCCCCGCAGCCTGTTCCCTGGGGGTGATACCTCCATGGAGGAACAAACACATCCTGGGGGAGTCAGAGAATGAGGAGGTGACCTGTCCCCTGCTCAGGGCAGTGCCCATGCTCTTCCTGATGTGGTGGCAGTGACGACACGTTGGTGACACTCAACTCTTTCTTCTGGCCTTTGCACAAAACCTGTTCGTGTCCCCCCCACCCCGTCCTCCCTGAATAACTCTGGAATGAGGCATCACCCCTCCCCTCCTTCTGATTTTTATTTTCCAGAACCGGATGCACGAGAGCATGAAACTCTTTGACAGCATCTGTAACAACAAGTGGTTTACGGACACGTCCATCATTCTCTTCTTGAACAAGAAAGACCTGTTTGAGGAGAAGATTAAGAAGAGCCCCCTGACCATCTGCTACCCCGAGTACACAGGTACGGCCGGGCCACTGACACCCCACTTTATTTGCCACCAGGGCCAGGAACGAGTCACTTAAACCCCACACAATCCAAGAAAACTTAAAAACTTCTCTTTTTTCCCCCCCTTCCCTTGGTTCTTGGGCAGCTTCTTTGGGTTCTCCAGTTTGCTGGTGGCTCAGAAGGGATGTGCTCCCTCATGTCTGCAGCTCATCCTTTATCTGTGTCTTTTATGGCCTGGGGTACCAAGAGCAAAGTCTCACACTCCAGCAAATCAAGGTTGCTCCCATTTCCTGCACGTTATTAGGACAATACTTTGATTTAACCTCATTTTTGGAGGCTGAGAAACTTCTCCACACCCTGGGGATGGTGGTTTTCCACCGTGTGTTTCAGCGACGGCCCGTCCCACACAGGGATGGTGCTTCACCGTGGAGGCATTTTGATTTCCTTCAAACCTCCTTATTCCTGTCACTTGTCACTCTTCTGACCCAACTGCGTGTTTCTAGCGTGAAATTCTATGATTCATATGATTCAGATTCATGTGATTCATAGAATTGTCTGGGTTGGAAGGGACTTTTAAGATCATCGAGTCCAACCATCAACCCAACTCTGATAAAACCCATCACTAAACCATGTCTCCAAGCTCTATGTCAACCCAGCTTTGAAGTCCCACCAGGGATGGTGCCTCAACCCCTTCCCTGGGCAGCCCATTCCAAGGCTTAAGAACCTTCTCCGTGGACAAATTGTTCCTCATCTCCAATCTGAACCTCCCCTGGTGCAACTTGAGGCCGTTTCCTCTTGTCCCATGGCCTGTTCCTTGGGAGAAGAGACCGACCCCCCCTGGCTACACCCTCCTTTCAGGGAGTTGTAGAGAGCGAGAAGGTCTCCCCTCAGCCTCATTTTCTCCAGCCTGAGCACCCCCAGCTCCCTCACAAGTTCTCCAGCCCCATCTCCTTGTTCTCCAGACCCCTCACCAGCTCCGTTCCCCTTCTCTGGACCCATCCAGCCCCTCAAGGTCTTTTTTTGTGGTGAGGGGCCCAAAACTGGACACACACTTGAGGTGGGGCCTCATTGTTCCTGACCCAGACCAGGATTCTTGGCCACCTGGGCACACTGCTTTGGTGGCCTTCTTAGTCAACCCAGCCAAGGGTTGACCAACACCCCCAGGTCCTTTTCCAGTTCAGCCAAGGGTTGACCAGGTCCTTTTCCACCAGGCAGCTCCAGCCACTCTGCCCCCAGCCTGGAGCATCCATGGGGTTGGTGGGACCCACACTTGGCCTTATAGAATCATAGAATCATCTTGGTTGGAAGGGACCTTCAAGATCATCTAGTCCAACCATCAACCAAACTCTGACAAGAAAACCCATCACTAAACCATGTCCCCCAGCACCACGTCAACCAATGCCTTGTAGAACCTCATCCCGTTGATTTTGCCCCATCCATCCATCCTATCCAGAATAGATTCATAGAATCATCTTGGTTGGAAGGGACCTTCAAGATCATCTAGTCCAACCATCAACCAAACTCTGACAAGAAAACCCATCACTAAACCATGTCCCCCAGCACCACGTCAACCAATGCCTTGTAGAACCTCATCCCGTTGATTTTGCCCCATCCATCCATCCTATCCAGATCCTTCTGCAAACAATCAACAATCCCTGGGTGGCAGAAGGAGTGACTCCTCCAAGGTCACCCCACCAGAAGCTGGAGATAAACTCCAGCTTTACCAGAAGGGGTTAAGGGTGGATTTGGATTTGTAGCTGGATAAGGCAGATGGTTGCAAGCAGCTTAATATGGACTTAAAAGATCTCTCTCTGCCGTGAACTGTTGGCCAAAGTGAAGGGATCGGGTCTTTTTTTCAGGCTCCAACACGTACGAGGAGGCAGCTGCCTACATCCAGTGTCAGTTTGAGGATCTGAACCGCAGGAAAGACACCAAGGAGATCTACACCCACTTCACCTGCGCCACTGACACCAAGAACGTGCAGTTCGTCTTCGACGCCGTCACGGACGTCATCATCAAAAACAACCTGAAGGAGTGCGGGCTCTACTGAAGGGCACGAGAAGGAGGTAAAGCTGAGCCTGCTCTTTCTTTTAAAACCTTTTTTTTGGGGAGGGGAGAGTTGGTTTTGAGTTGGTTTTGCCTCCTCCCTCGTTCACCATCACCCTTTTTTTCTCTTTTTCAGTTTGAAACGGCGGCGTTTTTTTGTGCCCCGGACTCTTTGCTGCCTGGCGGGGACCGGCTGGGAGCACCAAGAGGACCAGAAGAAAAGGGGGAAAAAAAACAGCAAAAACAGCATGCAAAATCCTTGCATTCTTTTAGCACAAATCTTAACTCTTAGTAGGGGGACCTTTTTTTGAAATTGAGACGGGAAGGTCGAGGTTAAAACAACCCTTTGGAGCGTGACCGGATCCGTCCGGGTGACGATCCCAAACCTGTACAGCCGGTGTGGAGTCGAGGTGTTGGGATTCCACACCTTCAATATGTAGCTTTCTCTCTCTTTTTTTTTTTGGGTTAACAAACCACCACTAGTTTTATTTTTGGGGGTTTTTTTTTGAAGCTTCGGTTGTTGTTTATTTTTATTCTTATTTTATTTTATTTTTTTTCCCCATCCGGAAAACTATTATCGACTCGATTTTCTTTCTTTCTTCGCGAACGGAACCTTGTTTTAAAAAGAATAAAAAATTAAAAAAAAAAACAAAAAAACAAACAAAAAAATCACTTAACTATGCACACGTGAGCAGATCATGCGGAAAGAATTTCCTCTTTGCAGGAAAAGAAAAAGAAAAATAATCTTTTGTTTTTAACACTTGGGACGGGCGGGATAGATTTCATATTTCTGCCGCTTTAAAGGCCATCCCTTTGGCTTTTTCCTGGTGATTTCTTCCTGCCCCCCCCCCC